ATGAAGTACACGTAACTAAGTATTACAGTGTCTGGACAAGAGGTATAGTATATCAAACTAGGCATGGCGGGTTCAGACATGAAGTACATGTAACTAAGTATTACAGTGTCTGGACAAGAAGTATATCAAACTAGGCATGGCGGGTTCAGACAGGAGATACACGTAACTAAATATTACAGTGTCTGGACAAGAAGTATATCAAACTAGGCATGGCGGGTTCAGACATGAAATACATGTAACTAAGTATTACAGTGTCTGGACAAGAAGTATATCAAACTAGGCATGACTGTGTCTAGACATGAAGTACATTAAACTAGGGATAGAAGTGTCCACGCAAAAATAGTACTTGTAACTTATCAACGAAATGAAAAATCAATCGGTGATCATATATTATACACATAATGAACACGCCATAATTCTATTAGCTGCAGTAACTCAAATCTATTCAAAGCAATTCCCCTTGCAACATACACTGCCATAAATTTACATTGCGCACTTGATATCGAGCAGAAATCAATTAATGTTTTTATGCATGTAAGGGACACCTATACACACATTTGTGTGGCCATGAATAATACAAACAGAGCATCCGGGGACGAGGACAGATTAGAGTGAGCCAGTACTCTGTGTTTTGTGTCTCCACGCTGCGTCACTCAATGCTGCGTCACACAATGCTGCGTCACTCAATGCTGCGTCACTCAATGCTGCGTCACTCAATGCGTTGTGGGGTACAGTGAGTGTGGAGCTTAACGCCGAGGTGAACAACATGTCAGGTATATCTTCACGTGTAGCTTCACATGTCAACTTGATGTAGACGAGAGCCAGAGGGATGCAGATCGCTGACGTTTATCTGAACTGAACTGAAGTTATATTTACACTCAAGCCGCTATCAGCGGCATTATGAGGTACAAAATCAAAATAATTTCTGCTACATATACATGTACATGTACATGTACATATGAATATGAATTCAGTACAAAACATCTTTGACGAGCAGTCACGCTAATACGAGTACATACAGATTCACTGAGGTGACAATAGAAGAAGATGATGATGGCGGTGATGATGATGGTGATGATGATGATGATGATGATGATGATGATGATGGTGGTGGTAAGTTTTCCTCCAGTACGTTCAAGTAATAATCGATAATAAGAAAACCTTTTTTTAATGACACAATACGTTGTGCATTTGATCATGAATATTTATCTCTTGCACTTATCCAAAACTGTAGGTTAATGTCATTTTATCTTTCATGGACTAAATGTTTCAGATAATTAGGATTTTTGAAATTTTGTGATAACCAAATGTAACTTAGTTCAAGTTCATCAAAAGTCTGATATATGGAATCCATTTATGTTTATACTTTTCGAATGGATCGTCATTAAACAATAACTTATATACAAGGAAATATAACTTTGATGATTTCCCGGATGATTTCGCAATCAGACAAAACTGGGATTCAAAAGCGCAATCGGCCGATCCTGGCACGACTAAGAGAGGCAATTCTATATTCAACCTAGGTGCATTAGACCACTTATTAGTATCTAACCTGAGGTTGAGAGTGAGTGAGTGAGTATGGTTTTACGCCGCTTTTAGCAATATTCCAGCAATATCACGGCGGGGGACACCAGAAATGGGCTTCACACATTGTACCAATGTCGGGAATCGAACCCCGGTCTTCGGCGTGACGAGCGAACGCTTTAACCACTGGGCTACCCGGCCGCCCCCCTGAGGTTGAGAACTGGCATAAATCTCTGCATATCGCAACAAACCAGCCATTCCCAAGACGCATATGAAATAATAACTCGACACGCACTTAATGCTCAATAAAAATTTGACATTCAGGATCGGAACCTTAACCTTCAATCACCCAGTTCCCGCTTCCTCCCCCTGATACGATATCTGACACGTACACGATTCCGTTTAACATGCAGCACTTTAACTCGAATAACCTTTGACGCATATTGTTGTTTTTTATTACATTTATAGTTTTTTTCAGCGATCGACCTACAACACAAGCTAATCTGTAAATCTGGCAATTTAGCATGGAAAGGACACACAGTCATTTCCTGTCAATATCAGTTATATCAGGACAAGGAAAACGAAACTCGTACCGATACTGGGAGTCAAGTACAGACTGGAGTGGCAACGCTTTAAAGGAAGTCATCGAACGAATACTAAATTACTGAACCTAAAATAACACGTGACATAAATACTATCAATGTGCTTAACGATAACACCGCCTACGCTAGAGTCAGAGGGTGAGTGATGTTTTACGCCGCCTTTAGCAATATTCCAGCAATATCAAGGCGGGGTACACCAGAAATGGGCTGCCTACGCTAGAGTAACGCCTCACCCACAGAGGCGCCGACTTGTCAAAAGGCCTTAGGTGATTTTTTCAGATATGTAGACATGGCGGGCCCATTGCATAAGGCACATTGATGTATTTATCATCACTGAGCAATAAACCAAGTTAACGCATTGAGGCTTCAAGTAGGCAGTTACAAGTTGAACTCATCGTAACTTACGTCTAATGGGGAAAGATACACAAGTTATCAACACTGATAGTAAACTAGACAGTACTGATATACAACTGACCCGATCTAAATACACAGCGTATTTTTACACAGTTATAATTGTAAGTCGCCACGACGCCAGTCTTCACAGCTGAACAACGACTCCGGTCTTTGATCTGGCGTCGTGGACACCGTCGCGGGCGTACAAGCCAAGTTCAGGAATCATGTCAGAGGAAATACAGCATAAACCTTTTGATGCGACAGGGGGCACGGGTGGCCCAGTCGTCTAAGGCGCCGCGATTCGCTGTGCAGAGTTGCGTACCTTGGGCACGCCAGAAACCTATGATTGTGGGTTCGAATCCCGGTTCGCCCCGATTATGTTTCTAGGTTTGTCAGCACCATACCCGTGCTCGTTGGTTTCATCGAAGTGGTAAACGTCTTAGACCTGCATCACTTCGGGCTTTCCTCCCACATTAAGCTGACAGGCCGTGATATAACTGGAATACTGTTAAACGCGGCGTTAAACCCAACTCACTCACTCAATTTTGATGCGACAAAGCGCGGACGTCGGAGAAGACATCCTCCATGCGGGTGGTCTTTCACACCAAGCGGCGAGCCAGGGCTGTAAAGTGTGTTTGTCAACAAACTTTAATCCGATGCTACGGATCAGTATTTATTAGGACAATCATGATAATGTGCATGTTTTATATACAAAAAAGGTTCAAGTTGTTATTTAGTAACCGCCTTAAAGGTGACATAAACACCAAGGTGACATGCATCGACCAATAGAGCGAGCCTGACCACCCGATCCAGATAGTCGCCTCTTACGACATAGAACGGACTGCTGAAGACCAGGGCCCACTTGCACGAAGCGATCTTAGCGCTAGAACTATCGTAAGCCTGTGTTAAAGTATGGGAGTTACGATCCACTTACCGCTAAGATCGTTTTGGGCAAGTGGGCCATTCTAACCCTGATATACACTTACTGAGTCCATTTGTAATTATCTGTACATGACAAAGTGCCTAATGGACTCTGAACTCATTGCATGCCTGGGCATGTCATAGGATTGAACAACTCTGAACTCAACAGTTGTACCAGTATTAACTACACGCGTGGGGACTATGTAGGTCAATGTTGGTGTTCTGGACTGAGTGACCGGCAGCCACATTCCGCGGTAGCCTGGTTACCAGTCTATTTGCACGTCAAGGTAAACCGACCTAAGGTTTGTTTCAAACCTTTCAAACCGACGCTTGTTACAAATCGTCGTTTGGTGTTCAACCCAAAATTTTCAAAATTCCTTCTATACCTCGACGATCTTTGAATAATGGAACTGGTCTGAAAACCAATGACTCATGGAAGGACCAACGTCCCACACCATCAGATACGAATCAGTCAAAACGCAGAGTCTGACCACCCGATCCCCATCTATTCGGCTTCCATGGTAAACATTATGTACTTAACCTACTGAACCTGATACAGACCAGGGGCGGTCGGGTAGCCTAGTGATTAAAGCGTTCGCTCGTCACGCCGAGGACCCGGGTTCGATTCCCGACATGGGTACAATGTGTGAAGCCCATTTCTGGTGTCCCCCGCCGTGATATTGCTGGAATATTGCTAAAAGCGGCGTAAAACCATACTCACTCACTCACTCACTGATACAGACCACGGTCATGTAGCTGGAACACTAAAAGTTCTAACCCAGAGTACCTACTTCGCATTAGAGGTTACTTTGTAACTCAGTTAAGGTTGGTACGTCATGGCGAACAATGTCTTTTATTCATCTTGTCGCGTGGTCTGTTGGTCGGGAATCACACAGGCTAACCAATGATTGATAGTGTGAGTACAAATTATGAGGTCACTATGACACTGTAGAAGTCATGTTTCAGGAGAGAATCATCCAAGCAACTTTCCTTTTGTCCGGAGTAGAATAGGTCTTCAACAACCATGCTTGTCATAAAAGACGACTATGCTTGTCGTAAGAGGCGACTAACGGGATCGTAGCTTGCTGACTTGGTTGATGCATGTCATCTTTTCCCATTTGCGAAGATCGACGCTCATAGTGTCAAACACTGGATTGTCTGGTCCAGACTCGATTATTTACAGACTGTCGTCATATAGCTGTACTGTTGCTGAGTGCGGCGTTAAACAACAAACAAACAAATAAAAGTCGCCTTTTCTTTTAATAATAGATGCGAGGGCCTGAATTATATTGCATCGATTTCCAAGGATAAATTATCAAACTGATTTGGCCTGACACTACTGAAACAAATCAGTCACTTGACCGTCACACATCTTGACATCATTCCTTTATCGACAGATCTGACCCAGGTAAAGTTGTTTTCCGCCATATCTGCTGATATCAAACAACACGCATACCGAGCACCGTGTAAAACAAACAATAGACTTGCGTACCACGCTATTGGCGTTCGTTCACCACTTGTGCATCGTGCATTAAACAATACATAATTAAAGTCAATACATTTAGCGGTCTGACAGGGGAGCATATCCTAGAAAAATCCAGCTTCGAATACGATCAATGATTGTTTGGTGGCTTTAAATGTGATAACGTACGGGAGATTAACATGAGCTAAGGTAAACCAGCACAGCTGGTCTCACGGGTTGGTAAACAATCTGATAAGCCTTCATCGCAGCCCGTCAGTTTTCGAGATAAGGACAGCCACTGCAACAAACCAAGCCTCAATCTCGGGCTTCACCATGGACGTGTCTCGCGCTCTGGCAGCAATAATTCTCGGAGTTTCATGTTTTATCCGAAATGGCGAAGCTTTCAACTTGACAGTTGTTCACACGAACGACATACACGCGCATTTTGAACAGACGAACATTCGTGGAGGCCCTTGCTCGGAGAAGGACGCCGCGGCGAACAATTGTTATGGCGGCTATGCTCGTATAGTGACTAAAGTCAAGGAGTACCGGAACCTTAAGCCCAACAATACTCTAGTGATTGATGCTGGGGACCAATACCAGGGAACGCTTTGGTTCTACTACTTTGGAGGAAATGTTACGTCGGAGTTTGTCAACTTGCTCGGGTATGACGCTATGGTAAGATGATCCTCCTGTCCCTACTATATCTTGATTTATGTTTTTATCCCACCATCGACACTATCGTATTTCATATAATTTATATATTTTATTAACTTTTGTTTATCCTACCATCGACACTATTGTATTTCATTTAAAGCACTTTTTGTCATTTTACAGAGTATACATTCGTAATATGTTTTGAAATGCAGTCAACTGCACCGACCTATAATTGAATCAGGGGCGGCCGGGTAGCCCAGTGGTTAAAGCGTTCGCTCGTCACGCCGAAGACCGGGGTTCGATTCCCGACATGGGTACAATGTGTAAAGCCCATTCCTTGTGTCCCCCGCCGTGATATTGCTGGAATATTGCTAAAAGCGGCGCAAAACCATACTCACTCACTATAATTAAATCATGTCCTCTGAACACATGAACAGGGAGAGGTTAGTATTTGTACACAAACACAGCTGTTTGATGTCGATGTGCGGTGTCATCATGTCGACTATGGATGTGTAAACTGTGATGTTTATACCACATTATATAGCTGTTTTATATAACGGTATATCACCAATATCATGTGCAATGTGCACGATCCTCCTCCAGCCGTTGTTCACACAACTACAGCCTGTTGCGTGTACCTGTATATATGCTGAACCAAACACATTTAGCAAAACATAAATAATTTGAGTAGACAATGCAACATCTTGTATGAACTAAAATCCATCGTGTGTGACAATGACGCTCGTGAACATTCTAAATCCGTTAATCACGAAACATGTGTTCACTTTCTCGAGCATGGTACTCGCATGACACTTTATGCCACAACATTAAACTAAAAACCAATGCAGAATTGTACAATTAAACATGGGCGCCCAGCGTGGAATGCTGGAATATCAGCATTATGAAGCAATAGGTAGACTAGCAACACTAGCAACACGTGTACAAGAGGTTTACCGTCATTTCATTGTGCATTAATGTAGCAGATCACGTTTAAGACAACGCGTACAGCAAACAGCCCAAGTTCGGGATCGACCACGTTCATGTAGGCCTCGTGCGACCCCCCCCCCCCCCCCCCCCCGGCCCAAGGGAGGATCGCTACCTGGTAACTTCATCGCAACTTCATCGACTTACAGCAAGACACAGGCGCCGCAGTTCACCCTCCAACTGTCCGCAACCGTCGTAGAGTTCCACGCCCGACGTTCTGTGACTGATATGACGTTAACGCAACGTCATATGGTTGAAAGACTTGCATGGGCGCGCAGTCATCAACGATGGCGTTTTTCACGATTGAACCAGATGTTATTCACAGATGAATATCGATTTTGTGTGCAGTTTGATGATGGAAAACGCCGTGTATTGCGTAGGCGTGGTGATAGGTATGACGCCGATAACGTCGTCCAGCGGGATCGATACGGCGATGGAAGCGTTATGGTATGGGCGGGATATTATGATAACGGCAAAACTGGTCGTGTGATCGTTAATGGGTATCTCAATGCGTAGCGTTAATCTGACAACATTGTCAGGCCAGTGGTCATTCTGCTCATTCGGCAGCATCGTGGTTGTTTGTTCCAACAAGACAATGCCAGGCCCCATACATCTCTTTTAACCCGTGATGTTCATGGAAACCATGTTCCTGTTCTGAACAGGTCCGTAAAATTTCCGGACCTTTCTCCGATACAGCAAGCATGGGGTATCTTGGGGAGGAGAGTAAGGGAACGTCAACCGTTTTTTGACCGTGACCTTGAAAGTGTCCTTCTTCAAGAATGGACCACCATTACCGTTCCAGACATCGGCACACATGTCAGAAGCATGAGACGTGGCTGTGCAGCTGTGATTCATGCTGATGGTGCCGTCACACGTCACTGACAGTTTTGTGTGTTCGCCCCTCTCGTGACAAATGACTTCCCGAGAATGTAACAATGGCACGTCAACGTATTGGGGATGGATGGGTTTGCTTTTTATAAATTGTTGCCTGATTCCGATGCAATGTTCACACAAGTATTATATTTGAAAATATTTCACTTGTATGCTGATTTCGGACGATTACTCGTGGGAACGTACATACAAAGTAAAAGTCCCCCGTATCCCCAGACCAAAGAGAATAAATATATATTAAATCCCACTCAAGTCTAGAATGACTTTTATAGCTCTTTTCAGCTCTAGGACAGCAATTAAACATTGTTCTGGGCTTCATTTGGATTTTACTCTGGGACTAAAAGTAATTAAGTCTACAATAAATCCATAATGCAGACATGTATTAAACAGGACAAATTCAACAGGAACGCTATCACCCGATCAATGGGCCCCACTGTATAAGCAGACATATTGCATCTGTTACGTAATGTATGTGTTACTTTGTATTATCTTATCTATCGGTTATAACTAGTACATTTGCCACATTTCTTTCTATCTCAAGTCTCTATCCATGAACACATCCACCCAGCTATCTGTGACACAATCTGATCCCCTGTGAGGATTCTGGGCTAGATAGGATCCCAGCAGGCTATGCTGGATGGCGAAGAGAGGACTAAATGGTGAAGTGAGATGAAATGGGGTTTAACGTCGCGTCCAAGATTATTGCACTTATATAGCGACGTGCATGCACGTGTGTGTGTATGTGTGGCTGCTTGAACTAGTCCAGACTGATGCCGATTTATAGTGCGAGCTCACAGAGATACCATGCCGCAGTTTACCATGAACTCCCCATTCAGACACAGTATACTGACTCCGAGCCTACCAGTCCTTATTTTAGCCCCTTAATGCCGAGCGCCAGACGGGGTAACAACAAGTACCATCTTTTAACGTCTTTTGGTATGACGCGGCCGGGGATCGAACCCCGGACCTTCCGCTCTCCGGGCGGACGCTCTACCACTAGTCACGGTACCACCACGGTCAGGACTAAATGGATCGGATGTCAGGCTCGGTGTCTTGAATTTGTTGATTTCATGTAATTATTTGTACCTCGATCAATGTTCGCAATACCAGTCACTGAAGTGTCTGGTCCACAGTCGATTAAATATCTACAGGCCGCCGTCACATAGCTGGGATATTGGTATACGCGGCGATAAACAACAAACTATCTTACCATCTATCAAATTGGTACATCAATACCTAGGTATTCATATTCACATCTCTGTCACAAGATAGGTCGAAGCTTGACTAAAGCTACAACATGAACAGGTAGATGATTGTGAGTGAGTGAGTGAGTGAGTTTGATTTTACGCCGCTTTTAGCAATATTCCAGCAATATCACGGCGGGGGACACCAGAAATGGGCTTCACACATTGTACCCATGTCGGGAATCGAACCCGGGTTTTCAGCGTGACGAGCGAACGCTTTAACCACCAGGCTACCCGACCGCCCCAGATGATTGTGAATATTACATTGACAACAGTTTATATTTAAGGAGCAGGTGTGTATGTCCCGACCTAATGTTGACCTCATACATCAAGGTCAAGGTCACTATAGAGTCGGCCTCGGAAAAATACCCATATGTGCTTTCTCTGGCTTTATTTATCTTTGCTTTCTTTCTATATAGACCAAAATGATATGAAGTCCGAATATCCTCACTCTTGTTTGTTTGTTGTTTAACGACTCACTCAGGAATAGTCCAGCTATATGACGGCGGTCTGTAAAAAATGGAGTCTGGATCAGACAATGCAGTGATTGATATCATGAGCATCGATCCACGCAATTGGGATCGATGACATGTATCAACCAAGTCAGCGAGCCTGACCACCCGATCCCGTTAGTCGCCTTTTACGACAAGCATAGTCGCCTTTTACGGCAAGCATAGTTCACATGACTTTAGGGACTGGTCAGTTATTAACGGGGGAGGTAGGTGTGGAGTGCAATGAGATTGGTTTTGGGACTGTATCAAATTTTGCTGACCCCCAATTTATGTAACATTTTTTCATGACTCCCCAAATACATGCAATAGCTTTCCATGGTCCCGATCCGTTCAACTTACTGGATAACAACTTCTGGTTTCTAGCTTACTGCTGGAGTGGATATATGCAATAAAGTTGTTTTCCATAAAATTGTGCGTTTTTCTTACTTATTTGCAAACTTCTAGAATGCCAATCAAACAGTTAATCCAGTCTGTAAATAGTTGAGCCTGGACCAGACAATCCAGTGATTGACATCATGACGATCGATCGACGCAATTGGGATACGATGTCATGCATCAACCAAGTCAGCGAGCCTGACCACGTGCACCCGATCCCGTTGGTCGCTTCTTACGGGACGCATTGGTTGCTGAAGCCATATTCTTACCCGGACCTTCACGATCTACTCTAGACAATGTGTGCTTGCAGTAACTGGTAGACTTGGTGTTGACTGTGAGATGGAGAGAGCAGTACGCCGTGTTTACCAAACTTCCAGATTTATCACGAACAGAAGCCTTACATACATTGCCCCCGTGTAATGACTTGAACCTGGGTCTTAGGTGTGACCAGCTAACGCTTTAACCGCTAGGCTACCAAACCATTCCCTGTGGTTTGTACGTCACCAGATGGCTATCGATTATTTGGGTCATCACGTGTGATACTTACACTCTAGATATTTATCAACTGCGTATATCAGGCATGTTCTGTGAGTTCCCCGGCGACGCAAGTTAACAACAGCTGTATCACGCTCCCTGCTGGAGGCGTCGCCCGTGGACTAGACTGACTCATTGTCTTTGCCTCAGTGTATGGGTCTAATATGTAGATACGGAGGTAAACACACATAACAACACCCCCCCCCCCCCCCCCCCCCCCTAACCACTCCAACGCAAGAAGGGGTTTTATTTCCATAACAAGCACTTTTAAATGAGGGCCCAAGCTCAATAGGGCGATGAGACAGGGATGTTTCATATTCCCCTTTCCTTTAAATAAACCCGCATTACCACTGTTAGACTTCTGACACTCGTGGGAACTAGCTATTTGCAATGACTAGCTTTGGATTCGTGTAAATAAATATGTAACATGACACGTTAATGGCAGTGTCAACACATGCACTATTCATGATCACGTGATTCA